GTGTGTGTGTGTTGGGAGTAGGGCTGACATACTTGGTGAGAGTTGAGGACAGGAATGACATTGGCGCAGGAACGCCTAGGATGGGGAGACATGGTAACCAGAGGTGTCTAGGGCATGGGACATGGACAGTGTGTGCCATGTCCACTTCTCAGCGCTTCCTTTCCGCTTGTTGTGTGCTGGCTGTGTGTCCTGAGCCTGAATGGCTCTCACCTGAGTGGAGAGGGCTGCTGTGCATCGCTTCTCTTAGGAGAGGAGGGGAAACATGGTTTAAAGCCAGAAATCCAGGCTCTGCCACCAACCAGCTCTGTCACACTGGGAAAGCCCTGTAACCGCCTGGGATTCTTATCCCAGAGGAGATGCCAAGATTCCTTCTTCGCTAGAGATCTGCCCAGTGCCTACTCTGCAGGCTGCTGGCAGGCGTTGAAAAATAAGTATGAAATGATCCTTTCCCAGCACCTTTTCTCAAGTTATGGTCTTAAATTCTATAATGCTTAGCCCCTGGTGAGCAACTGAGTGTCGGGAAGCAAGGAAAACAGAGGCTTGCGTGGCTCTGAGGCTCTCCCGGGCTGCTCCTGAGTCTGCTTCCTGGAGAAGGTAGAGGGAGTCACACCTGTTTTCTGAAACTGAGTGAAGGTGTCTGTGCAGCCAGTGCCACTTCCAGAAATCCTTGAACCCTAACACACGAGCGCTGCCGCAGGGTCAGGATGACACACTCATGCTCTGATTCTCCCTGGCTGCCACTTACACATCACTTGTCCCTTCAACTGGGCTCTCCAGGCTCCCATTCTCTTACCTGTCCTGTCCCCATCACGTAGCCTCCACCTGGGTCATCCCGTGTGTTCCCATGGTTACCCAGAGACCAGTGAATCCCCAGCCCACGGTTTCTCCTCCGAGTTCTATGTTAAGTGGCTACTGGACATCTCCAGGCTGATGTCCCACAGGCACCTGCACGCCCCGTGTCCCAGCTGCACCCCCTCCTCACTCCCAGCTGCTCTTTCTCCGGTGTCCCTATTTGGTGACTGGCTGCCTCACCAGGCTCCTGGGAGGTCTCCTGGCCTCGTCACTGCAGCTTTCTGGCCACATCCAACCAGTTAACAAGCTGTCCATTGACTCTGACGTTGCCTGTATCACCTGTCCAGGTGCCGGGAGTCAAAGCCGATGACTTGCCCTCAGATTTCTGTGCTTTCAGTAGAAATGGTTTGTAGAACCAAAGAGCTCCTGCCGTGGAATCTGAGGCGCAGCCAAGAATCTGGGCATGCGGTGGGCAGAAGGGGCTGAGGAAAGGTGGAGGCAATTACTCCGAAGGGTCAGCCAGTCAGAAAGGATGCTGGCAGTGTCCCCTGTCTCTCTGGCCCCCTATTTCTTGACACTTTGCCCACCATCAGATTAATGAAACCTTTTTAACCCTGACAGAAATGACAGCCTTGTGAGGAAGAACATATGCTTTGGCACTGGGTGGAAGGTTAAAACTACATCCAGGAGCAAAGGTTTTCTATGCAAGGGCTTAAATGCTTGCCTTGCACAGCAGGTTGTGAGTTACTATCTTCGCCTCAGGGGTGTAATTTTCCTCCTTGAATCTTTAGAGTTACTTCCAGAATTGCGAAGGTTGCTCCAAAAGCCACGTCTGAAGTTGACAGAGCCTGGGTACAGTCAGCTCGGTGAGCGCATGGACAGGGGAAAAGAGGGGTCACATCCCAGCGAGGAATGAGGTTATTGCCTTCAAATGCCAACGCACAACGTAACTTAAGATACAAAAAAAGGCTTGAGAACAGTAGCACCCTAACAAAAACCTCTCAGGACTCTTCCAGTGCGAAAAGGCAGGGCTTACAAAGCAAGTGATTAGAGGTTTAGGTTAAATTTAGAAAGGAAATCTGAGCAGAAATAATTCCTTTCCATGGATAACAACACTTGATGTTAAGTTTGGTTGTTATACTATTAAAGGAATTTACATAAATAAAATAAAAGTTAGGGTAAGTTATGTTTTTCATCACAAAAGTGCTTTTTAATTTAGAAAGAAATTAAGTCGCACTGGGTTCCATTATAAATGTTAATAAACTGCTTATTTTAAGAACTCTGTTTAGAAAAGTGTGCTTGTCCATACCTTCTTAGAGCACAGCTATCAGAATAGGAAATGATTTGTACGGCCGGTGTGGCTCAGTGGTTGAGGGCGACCCATGAACCAGGAGGTCAGGGTTTGATTCCGGGTCAGGGCACATGCCTTGGTTTCGGGCTCCATCCCCAGTCAGGGATAACAGTCTCTTCTTCATAGGTTTGTCGGGGGGGGTGTGTGTGTAAATCAGTATATGTAGTTTTAGGACAGTTTGTGACTGGTGCCTACTAGATCCTCAACAGATACGAACAATTATTATTATTGATGTGGGAAAGCTCTCATTCTTTCTAAAGAATTGGCATGACTAGAGAGAGACTATGTTTCCCAACATCTTTTTAGTACATACGCTCGGGCTTTGCAGTAGAGCAAATAACTTTCAGTGAACAGTCAAAATTATTTAGATAAGACTTCTTGTCTGCAATTGTTCAAAACAAAATTAAAAAAAAACAACAATGGAAAAAAAAAATGCTGGCAAGGGGACAAGTTTGGGGAATTGTTTGGAAGCGGTCATTGTACTCAGGTGGCCTGGCAGGCTACTGTAAACACCAGAGATAGCTGTCAGGAGGAAATCAGAGCCCATTGTGGGTCCAGAAAATGGATGTCTTTTCAACTAAACAGATTGCTATCAGCCCAACAGAGGGACTCGGGTTCCTTTCTGCCCGGTCATTTCCTTTACTGAGAGTCTGTAAGAACCACCCCGTCGCTGTTTCTCAGGACTGCAGGTTTTTAGGTCAAACAGAAATCCCGGGAGTGCCTGCAAAAGCCGACACAGGCGGTTCCATTAGGCCCTGGCTGCAGCGTGCTCGTGGGGGCCGTGGGGCCGTGGGGCCGTGGGCCCGGGTTGCGTGGGTTCTCCGGCTGTGGGCGCCCCGGCGCCGGGACCCCAGTAAGGGCTTTGCTCCGAAGCGGCCGAAGCTTTCCCGCTGGGCCGCAGGCTCTGCCGGCACCGCCCGCTCCGGCCTTCATCTCAGAGGCCGGGCGTCCTCCGCGCTTTGTCGCCCTCAAGCCCCGCGATGGACAAGACCCAGGAGCCCCTGGCCATGACCGTCCACCTCCTCGCCAGCTCGGGGCACGGTGCGCCCCTGCAGCAGGCTCTGGATCAGCTCCTGGGCTGCGTCTGCCCCGAGGTCCGGCTCTTCATGGTGTCAGAGCGGGTGAGTCCAGTGAAGAGCTACGACAGGTGCCACCCCAGGCGGTCGCGGTTCCCGGGGATGTCCGTTTTGCTCTTCCTGCAGGAAAGCCTGGGAGAGGAGCGGCTCTTTCGAGTTCTTGACTCCCTGCGGCAGTGGCCCTGGCAGGGCTGCCCTGCCCCAAACACGCGGGGAAGCCCGGGGCCCTGCATTCCTGCCGGCCAGGAGTTCTACAGCCTGGACAGTCACATGCCCGTCTGGGGCGTGAGGCGGGCGCACGGTGGCACCGAGATCCTGAGGGTGACGCTCTACTGCACTTTTGATAACTACGAAGACGCCATCAGCCTGTACGAGATGATCCTGCAGAGAGAAGCCACCCCACAGAAGAGCAACTTCTGTTGCTTCGAGCTCTACGCCACTGAGAGCTTCGCCCTGCAGCTGTCCCTGAAGCAGCTGCCCCTCGGGGCGTCAGTGGACCCCAAAGAGTCGTCAGTGCTGCAGTTCAAGGTTCAAGAGATCGGCCAGCTAGTGCCTCTCCTGCCCCATCCGTGCGTCCCCATCAGCCGCACGAGGTGGCAAACGCAGGACTACGACGGGAACAAGATCCTGCTCCAGGTATTTCTGCCCTGCCTCCCGAGTGGCCTGAGAGACGGGCTAACGTGGGGTTCTCAGCCTCGGCCGCACCTCAGAACCCCTGGGGAGCTTTCAAGACTGGGATCTCAGGGGGCGCCCAGGCCTGGGCATTTTTTCCAAAAGCTCGTTGAGGATCTAACAGGCAGCATGCGGCGGCGCTGACGGTCACTGCTCGGACAGAAGGGGGTTCAGACTCTGGACGAGCAGCTGCTCCGGAAACAGTTGTCGAGCGGCTGCTTGTTCTCGGGAAATAAGGTGTCTCTTCAGAAAAGGTGTCCGTTCCAGAAGCTGGGTGGGTGAAAACCAGCGCGAGAGCCTTTTCGTTTCATCATCTTATGCCCTTTCTAGCCCTTTAGAATAAAAGCGCAGCCTTTCTGGAAGTGAGGGCGCCCTGTCTCCCGCTGCGGCTTTTCTCCAAGCGTCTCTTCTCGCGGCTGAGTCTCCGCTGCCCTGGCTTGGGCTCTGTTCCCCTCTCGTTTTTCACTCATCTCCTTTCCCCTCTCCATCGCTGTCCCCAGCGTACCCCGCACTGCTGAACACACTCACACCCTCACACACATGCACACACACGTGCACACACTCACACACACTCACACTCACACACTCACACACACACTCACACACGTGCACACACTCTCACACACACACGCACACTCACACTCACACGCACACACACACTCACACACACACACGCACGCACACACTCACACACTCACACGCACGCACACTNGCACACACACACTCACACACACACACACGCACGCACACACTCACACACTCACACGCACGCACACTCACACTCACACTCACACTCCCATTCCCACACTCTCACTCTCAATACTTGGGTTTCTGCTGCCCTGAAAGGGCGCCTGTGGGCATCTCCCTGAAGGTGGCTGTGGAGCCGCGGGTTAGTATCAGTGGTTTCGGTTCATCAGTTAAAATAAGTACCGAACAGTCCAGGACGCAGACGACGAACAGGCAGGGGCCTGGGGCGGGTGGAGATGACGGGGAGAGAAATGGAGGGCATCTCTAATAGTCCCCACAATAAATAAAAAAAGAAAAGAAAAAGGATTTTAAAAACAAGCACCTTTCAAAAGATCAGCTAATTGAAAGAAACTGGCTTCAGCTGTTAACTAAGCGAGCCTGGCGTCGTTCGGGCTGCTTACTTTCTACATAACTCATTTCCTTGCAATTTTTTTTCTCAGTTTGGAGAAATCCTTTTTTTGCTATCTCTTGGAATCACATTTAGTAAGAGACAATATTATTTTCTCTTTATGATGTCAGCCTGCCCCTTAAAAGCTTAATCATTTTTTCAGTGATGCGTATTTTCTTGTTTCTAAAGTGTTGAGTCAATTGAGTGACAGATGATCTTCCTGTTCATCAAGATAGTTGCTGCTGTTCCCTGAAACCTGAAGAAACCTAGCTCTCAATTTGTGACATTTTACAAGTATTTCTTAGAATGATGGGCTCTAAATGATCAGAATTTCTACAAATGCACTTCGAATTTATTTATTTTTCTTGGCAGGAGGAGCTTTGTTCTCCCTCAAGGGATTTATCTCAGTCACTCAGCATTGTTTCTTCTAAAGAGTCCTGATTCCAACTGCACACATCTTTATTTCTATATTAACAATGCTGTACTCACTTTTGCCACATGGTCTAGTGAGTTTAGACTTCTCTTAAAAAAAAAAAGTTGACATTTTCTCTTCTTAAAAAGATTGCAGAAATGGCCAGCCATGCGATGAAATCACTTTTAATATTCTTGATAAGACTTTATGTATACCTAATGTCAAATAATCAGGAGCCCAGTTTATAGATTCTACATTTCTATGTGCAAAATTTATATCTTTAGGGGTTAAGCTTCATTTATTTATCAACAGATATCTAGTGATTATTTATCAGGTGTTAGTTAGGCACTGTGCCTAAGAAGGGGCAGAATGTGGCAGGTGTGGTGGGCCATCCTAAAGGGCTGAAATTTTATCTCAAGAAGAGTAGGAAGCCGTTGAAGCGGGAAGGTGACATGATCACAACTCTTTTCAAACTCCTCTGGTGGTGGAGGGGAGAATGGATTGGAGGAAGGTAAGAGCATCTATGGGGAGTCCCTTCAGATGGCTGTTGCAGTGATTCAGATGAGATGGTGACAGCCTGCCCTAGGGTTAATGGCAATGGGCTTGGAGAGAGGGGAAGATCTGAGAGGTCTTTGGAAGGCAGAGTCCATGGGAACTGGTGACATCGAGGTTAGAGAAGGGAAGGTGATGCTCCTGCTTGGGTAGCATGGGGCTAATGATGCCATCTTCTAAGACTAAAAGAGCAAGTGGGACAGATTGAGTGTGAGGAGGAAGATGAGATCAATGTTGGAAATGCTGAGTTTGAGGAGCTTGGGCCTTGAAGACAGTTGGGTAGATAAGTGTGAAGCTTATGACACAGACCTGAGCTGTAGTTACACTTTTGGGAGTCTTCGTCATTTCGATGATAATGAAGTCACGGGTGTCAACGAGATTGCCATGGGAGAGAGTGCAAAGTGAGAAGAGAAGAGGGCCCAGGTTAGCCCTGAAGAACCACGAGCTAGCAGGGGAAGGGGCTCCTTCAGTGGACACTGAGGAGGGATGGATGGACAGGAAGGAAGAGACCCAGAAGGCTGGGTTGATGTAGAAGCTTAAGGAGAAGACTTCGAATGTAAAGGAGAAAGGCCAGCCTCGTAAAATTCTGCCAGGGCTCAAGTAAAAATGAATGACAAGGAGACTGACTGTAGGTGATCTTGGCAAAAGCAATTTCAGGGGAGTGGTAGGAGGGAAAGTCAAAGTCATGGGCTGGAGAAATAAGGGAAGGTTAGTAGGAAAAATAAGTGTGGGCAAATTTTATAAAGAGGTTTGACTGTGAAGGAGAGGAGACAGAGACCTGGTGAAGGGGAGGGTTGAAGGAATGCGTTTTTCAAGATAGACTTAAGCAGATTTCATTGCTCTTGGCTAGGAGGGGAGATCTATCTATCATCTATCTATCATCTATCTATATCTATCTATCTATCTATATCTATCTATCTATCTATCTATCTATCTATCTATCATCTATCTATCTATCTATCTATCTATCTATCTATCTATCTATCTATCTATCTATCTATCTATAATCTATCTCTATCATCTATCTATCATCATCTATCTATCATCTATCTAAAGAGAAAGATATTGATTGAAGAAATAAGATAATAAAGTGGGAGAAAGTGAATAATTGATAGGGTGGGGTCCCCAGGAAGGCAAAAGTCGATGGATTCACTGCACAGATAATACAGGACCGGTCGCTTTAGTTGTGGAGAGCGTGGGTACTTACAATGGTAGGGAACTGGGAGTTGCTAGTTAATGATGGCTTTTGTCTTCTCTGTAATCTAGATGGTGAGAGCATCTGATGAGACTGGGGGCTGGGGTGGGTGGGTGGAGGTTGTGCCACTGCTTGAGGACAGTTCAGAAGTTTTGAAACAACTGTCATGGTGAATGGAGAGAGGTGACTAAAGAGGCAGGAGGACTGGCAGGTAGCCTGGGCAGAGTTGGAAACATTCCTTCATGGTGGCTCCAGTCTGAACAATTGCCTGGGTACAAGTTCAGAAAATGTGGGCAGGTTGCTGGGCTGGGCTGTGGCTCAGCGGTTGAGCATCAACCTAGGATCCAGGAGATGGAGGTTCAATTCCCAGTCGGGGCACATGCCTGGGTTGCAGGGACTTGTGGGAGGCAGCCGATCAATAACTGTCATCATTGGTGTTTCTATCTCTCTCTCTCCCTCTCCCTTCTCTCTGAAATCAACAAAGATATATATATATGTTTAATAAAGAGCAGATGTAGTGGGAGAATTGAGTACTGGAGCTAAAGAGTAGGAGGTAGCCTGAGATTGCGAGGTTTAAATTGGGAGGTGGAGCTCTTTAAGGTGCCAAGGCCCAGTGGAGGGCCGCGGGACTGGGTGAGCAGAGTTGAGGGGAGGCCCTGGGCTGTTTCAGGGGGACACTCCGATGCCTGCTCCGGCTCGGGCAGGCACTTCCTGGCCGCCCTGAGATGTCTTGGTGCTGGTTGTGGCCTCAGGACCAATTTTGTTCCGATCTGAGATTGATTTGGGGGGGTGAAGGGACCTTACTCAGATTTCTCTTTCTGCTCATGGTTGTTAGACAAATAAAATCCCCAAGAAGCAAAGTTATGAATTTTCCCATTTTTACTCTTGGAAAATAAAAACAAAAAAATGAGAGAACTGAGTCTTTTTTTTTTCAAATATCACAGACACATTTTTTTTTTTGCTTTGCTCTTCAAAGTTAGATCTTGAAGTTAAATTTTTAATGTTTCATACCATACATTTAAATAAAACCAATTAGAAAATGAACTCTAAAACTACACCATCAGCACCAGATGCTGGTGAAGACAAGGAGTCGTGGAAAACCCTCGGTCACTGCTGGTGGGGATGCGAGACAGTCCGGTCACTTTAGAAGACACTTTGTCACTTCTGTACAAAAGTAACCATACTCTTACCATAAGATCCAGCAATTGTACTTGTTGGTATTTGCCCAAATGAGATAAAAACGTATGAATTCCCTCCAGCTGGTTGGGCAGTCTAATCCCCACCCTGAGTGATTTCTGTCTATGGAAGTGACCACGCCAGTTTCCATTTCCCAGAGAAAAGGCTTCACTGGCTCAAACACGAAGGGGGACCTGATGTCAGATGAGCCCCGAGGGGACAGGGACGGCAGCTCTGCCTTTGAAGGAGGGTGCCTGTTGCTTCGATTCAGGTCAACCGACTTGACGGTCGGCTGTGGGCCGGGCCTGGCACAGGGTGAAGAGGGCACAGTCTGTCCTTAGCCCTTGGCGCACAGAAAACATCGGTTACGTTTGTCCATCTTTTCTTTGTCTGACAGATCCAACCAAATCCAGGACTTGGCGTTAGGAGTGGTGAGCTTTCCTTCCTGAACGGCGCCTCTGGAGCTGACACCCTTCCCCAGGGCCACAGGGTGACCCCGGTCTCCACAAGGAGGACCCTAGAGCTGAGAAGGCGAAGGAGCCGGGGCAGGCGGTTCAAGGCGGCTTCTCTGGAGTTCCCCGAGCCCAGTGGGGGCCCAGCGTCACCCAGCTCTCGTGGCACCTCCTGGCGGAGCCCTGGCTGCTCATCCCAGGCCAGCAGTCCAGCAACAGATGCCCAGCTGCCTCTGTGCTCTCCCCACCTCGAACCCGGGGCCAGAATGAAGGCCTGCAGCCAGGAAAACAGTTTTGAGAAGCTGGAGGCAGAGACCAATGTTGACACGGGGTGCACCGTGGTCAACTCTGAACCCAGGCCATCTTTTCTGAGCAGATTTCCAAGGGGCCCGCTGACCAGCCAGCCAGCACCAGCCTCCTCCTTAGGGGCAGCTGTCTCCAAAAACAACAGAATCTTGAAAGAGAGGGTCCGTTCTTTGTCACTTGGTGGCCAGAGGGACCTTGGTGGAAGGAAGATAACCTCGAAACATCCCCTTCATCTGCCAGTTCAGGATGAAGGAAAGGAAGGAGGCGAGGAAGAATTCTTCATTTAGCGTAAAACCAGTGTGGTTTTCTAAACACAGGGCCGAGTGCAATGCTCTAGAAATCGAGCGCTGCTTTTTGGTCATCTGAGGGCCTGAATGCTAGCCATGCGCAGGTCTGTATGGCTTTTATTTCAAATGTTCAAAGTCTAACGGTGCTGTAAGAGGTGGTTTTTTTGCAGCCAGGGTCATGGGCATAAGGGAACACAGTCCATGAATGCACAGGGGAAAAGCCCACACCTCGGTCCCAGGAGACACACAACCCTGCCAGGAGTGTCGAGCTCAGCACCCATCAGGATAATTGCGTTGTATGCAGATGAGTTGAATGTGTTATGCCGTGTTGATTAGTGTATGTAATTTGGTTTCAATTTTTACTGGGGTTGCATAGCTCATCCCCCTGGACAACACAGACTATTTATTCTTTAGTGTTTTTTTAATTTTTATGTGACCTCCTTTTATAACTAGGCCCTGTTCGCCACATACCCTCTAGTGGTTTTGCCTTTAAAGTTGTTTGCATCTGGAATGAGTTAACATGCAAAGTGTTTTAAAAATTAGGAATAATTAATTTTTTTTCCTGGTTAATGAGCAGAAACACCGGAAGCAGAAAAAAAAAAAATCAGGTTGAAAATGAAAGCTGGTCTGTAGGGGTTTCCTGCTTCTCCGTTTCTCATTTGTTCCTGAATTACTCCAGTGGAACCAGAGGCCCACGTCATCAGCCTGAGGGGAGTGTGACGATTGGATGGTTGGGGATCTCCATGGAGCACGGCAAGAAGGTTGCAGTGGTCAGATTATTGCAGCAGGACTTGGGGTCATCCGGACAAGTGTGAACCCTACATTCCTCTGCAATATTCATTCGTTCATTCAACAAATATTTATTGGACGCCTAATTTTGAATAAGACATTGATATATGGTACACATACATCCTGTGGCCATTAATTCAAAAGTGTTTATGGTTCCGCCAGTATGATAAATCTATTCTATCAACTCAAGAATATAGTGAGGTACAAATTGATTCCTCTGGGAACTTTTCCACAGCTTATTCCCACATCGGCTGCACAAGGCTGTGGTGAGCATTCCCGACCTGCTAATGGAGGCTGGGCATGTTGTGCATTTCAGTTATCATCGTAACAGACAAATTTCCGATTGCTCATGTGCTGCATGGTTTTGGTTGGGTCTATACCCACATTTAAAAAAGTCTGAGGTCTGTGTGTTTCAATTAATTGATAAGATTATTCCTTTTTGTATTACATATATATGTATTTTATTTTTTAATTACATTTTACTTTCAATATTATTTTGTACCAGTTTCAGGTGTACAGCATGGTGGTTAGACAATCACATAGGTTACAAACTGTTCCCCCGATATTTCCAGTACCCACCTGGCACCATACGTAGTTATTACAATATTATTGACTATATTCCCTGTGTTTTACTTTACATCCCCATGACTATTTTGTAACTACCAATTTTTACTTCTTAATCCCTTCACCTTTTCCACCCAAGTCCCCAAACTCCCATCTGTCTGCCACCAGCCTGTCTTTTGTGTCTATGCATCTATTTCTGTTTTGTTTGTTTATATTGCTCATTAGATTCCACATATTAGTGAAATATGGTATTTGTCTTTCTCTGACTGACTTATTTCACGCAGCATATTACCTTCTAGGTCCATTCATGTTGTTGCAAATGGTAAGATGTCATTCTTTTTTACGGCTGAGTAATATTCCATTGTATATATGTACCACAGCTTGGTAAGGCTCTTCTACTCTATGAACTTCCTTCTCCAAGACAGCTGTTACATAAGACTACAAATGCTGATGAGCTGGGAGGCCTGGTTACTTAGTACACCCAACTGGGGAGAAGGGTGTGTCAGGCCTAAGGACAAATCTCATGGCAGCAAGACTGGGCTGAGTTCGGGGTGCTCTTCCCAGCTTAGGGTACAAATGGAGGAGAGTTGCTAATGGACAAAGACATGACTCCTAAATGGATTTTTTTTCACTGTTTACAATATCCATATATTCTCATTCTCATTTTCTTTCTCTCCCATAGATTAAAGGTAGATCTTAGAAAGTGAATGAAGAACTTTATTTTGGCATGGCTTTCTATAATAACATTTAAAAAATGAAAGTCTTATTTAAGTTGAACTATTGAGCTGCTTTGAAAAGCCCAGCAAGGGGACGCTCTGACATTTCTTTACCACCTTTAACAGGTTACCTAAACTTTTTTAACATAATACATGGGTTAGAATATAAGTGCATGGAAATCATGAGAATATTGAAAACTTTGACTGAATACCTTACAAAACTGACTTTTAAAAGAAAACACTCTTACATTATCACCTGCTGTATTCTGCTCAATGCAGGAATCCAGTTTACACCGTGATAGGGTAGAAATACTAGTGGGTGAGGTGGAAGAGGCCCAGATTGCAGTTTCAAGCTTGAAAATTTGCTCTTTATGTGACCTTGAACTGCCAGCCTCTTTGGCCCTCAGTTGCCTTGCCTACTGTAATGAAAGGCTGCGAGAAAGATCAAGATGATGCACATGAAAGCATTTGGATATTGCCAAGCACATGACTATGTAAGATAGTATTAGCACATGGCCCTTCAGACCCAAACTTTTGAAATGTCATAGCAAGGAAGGACTTTTTGAAACAAGTTTTAGTAAAATCAATGATACAATAAAAAATGCAGCAATGTAATGATTACAAGTAAAATAAATCTAAGATTTTTAGTGTGTGTGCCATTTATTTTCATCTATCGAAGAGAATTACAGATAGGATTCAAGCAGATTCTAAAGCTCAAAAGAGATCGTATAAAAGGGGTTAACGATACACTAGTTTAATCCAATTTTTCAAATCATACTCTTAACTACAATGATATTGTATTCCCTACAATGTAAAATGTGTCATTTTTTAAATTGAATGGACTCCTGATGGTCGGGTTATTTTATTTTCTCTTCTAAGGGTTGCACTGCAGTCCATCAGCTATTTTAACCTTATTAATAGTGCTTCACACTTTTTTGCAAGTGTTTGGACATTGCTAAACACTAATAGAAATTTGCCAGCTTGTGATGGTGTTTGTTGGTTGGGGGAAGAAGAACAGGGGACTTGGGGTGCACATACCTTGACTTAGGGAGGGACAGGGACCAACACCTCAGCTGCACCCCCACTCACCCTCTGCTCTGGCGGGACTTTGTCCAGGGGTCCCGGTCCCTCCACCATGACCCAACAACCTGCTGGCTGCATCCAGTTATGCTCAGAGGTGCTGACGGCACAGACAGGAGTGGAGAGCAGTGTGGGCAGGGGAGCCCTGGAGGAAGAGGAAGGGGGCACAGGGGAAGACCGTGGAACCTCCTAAATTTCATCTCCATGTGATAAAGCGAAGAAATCCCTGACGCGACTTAAGTCTGCTTTCTGGGTCTTCTAAGCCCTCATGTTTGGGCTTTCTCCCTTTTCTCTCTCTCTTTGCATTCCTTTCCCCCTTCCCTCCCTCTCCTTCCTGTGTGTGTGCATGTGTATGCATGTGTATATGTATGCGCACATGTGCGTGCACACATAAACACACGTGCATGTGTATGCGTGCATGCATGTGCATGTATGTGTGCATGTACGTATGTGTATGCGTGTACGTGCATGTGTGTATGTGTGCGTGTATGTGCACACACGTGTGTGCATGTGTGCGTGCACGTACATGTATGCATGTGTATATGTATATGCATGCATGCGTATGTATGTATGCATGCATATGTGCATGTGCATGCGTATATGTGCATGAATTTGCTACTCTCTTCATTCTTCCCTGTTTGAAGCACTGGCCTTTGGGCCTCCCCCTGACCTGCAGCCGCAGCTTCTCAGCGGCCCCGCGGCGAAGCTCCGAGAGAGGAACCAGAGATCCGTGTCCGAGGGGTTCACCCGTTTCCAGGTTACGCCCAGGGCTCTGCTCTGGGGGCACGAACCCCACNCGATTTCTCACGGGGCTGACCTGCAGCCGCAGCTTCTCAGCGGCCCCGCAGCGAAGCTCCGAGAGAGGAACCAGAGATCCGTGTCCGAGGGGTTCGCCCGTTTCCAGGTTACGCCCAGGGCTCTGCTCTGGGGGCACGAACCCCACACCACTCAGAAACACGCTGCCTCCCCGCACTCTCCTTTCACGCCCACTAAACCTTCCTCTGAGGTCTGAGACGCTTCTGGAACAATTTTAAAGATTGGCTGTGGTCTGTGATAGCAAAACGAAAGGCATGATGGCCCCAGGGAGCACATAATTAGGTTTCAGGATAAGAACTTCATCCTGTTAAACTTTATTTTCAAATATATTATTTAAAAAGTCTAGTTATTCCAGAGAATCTTGATGAGGTCTCCGCTTGGCATGAGACACAGACTCGGCCCGTCAGGCATCTTCTCCCTGGAGTTTTGATGCTCCTCCTTGGGGTGGGAAGGTGTCCTTGGGATGGGGGGACAGTGGCAGTCTGGCCCTGGAAAGAGCGATGCGAGGCCTCGGCATGGAGCCCTTAGTCCACACTGGTCCAGGGCCTGGTTTCGGTTGTGATCCTGCCCATTCATCCCCCCTTTCTGTTCTGTGCATTTTCTGAGCCCGGTTCTCGAGCCTTCTGATAAATTCCTTCTCAGCTTGAATTAGCCAGGATCAGTTCTGTTCTCCAACCAGATAACTGAGATTGACACAGAATGAAACACTGAGACAGGTTAAAGCCAAGGACAAAATTGGGGCACCATATTAGGGAAGTGAATTTTCAAAGGGAAAAACAAAGATGTTAAAAACTGTTCGTTCGGGGGCTCAGGGTCTCTTTGAAGTTCCCTCGGCTTTGATTCTTTTGACTCGTTTCTTTCTGGGTCGCTTCTTTCTTCTCCCTCGTGGCTGTGACAGTAAGAAGACCTGCCCTCTCCCCTTCATCAGGCTGAGAAGGGAGCAAGATGGGACCCACTGGAGCTGCGTCCAAGGTCCCCCTAGCAGGGGCCATGCAGAGGGCGGTCTTCCTTCGTTACCAGCTGGTTTGGGCCAGGCATGGGTGGCTATTTTTGTTGCCTACCAAACATCTCTTCTCACTTCTTCTGATTAATAAAAAAAAAAAAGCCTCATTCCTGTGCAGGACCCACATGTTATTCGAGTGGGGCTGTGACCCCCCAGCTCTCATTCACACAAAGGGACACAGATCCACAGCCTCCCAGTCAGAGAGCACCGTCACCGGGAGACAGTGATTGGCCGTGTGACTCAGTACAGGCCGATCTGAGACGTCCCGGGAATTTTTTTCTGGAGCTCTGAGAAAAGACTCCTCCAGTCCACTAGGGGCCTCTGCTGGTGGGATGTGACGCTGGGGCCTAAAACAACCGAAAGATAATCTCTGACAGTTCTGGAGGCCAGAGCCCCAAATCAAGGCTTCGGTGGGGCCACACTCCTGGAGGCCCAAGCGGAGAATCGCTCCCGGCCTCTTCCAGCTTTCCAGGCCGTGGCTGCAAAACTCCAGGCTCTGCCTCCATCTTCACGTCACCTCCTCTTCTTTATATCACTCTCTGTCTCTTACAGGGACACTTGCCATTGAACTTAGGGTTCCCTTGGATAATCCAGGATGATCTCATTTCAAGATCATTAGCTTAATTACACCTGCAAAGATTCTTTTTCCAAATAAGGCCTTATTCACACTAGGAGTTTGGATCTGAGCATATCTTTATGGGGGCTACCATTCAACCCACTACAGAGCCCTTATAATTATGTGATTTTTTTCTGTGTTAGTTTAGTTATTTGTATTGTCTGCCACTCTCCATTCACCCACCCTACTTCTCTCTCTCTCTCTCGTCACACACACACTCTCACACACAAATATAAATTCCATCTGAGTTAGTACCTACCTGTCATCTTCATAGCTGTATCTATAAATCCTAAAACAGGACTAGAACCAGAGTAGATGCTCAGTGAGTGTTCATTGATTGAATGAAAGAGTTGATCTCCTTGGATTGTATCTTGTTAGCATTTTTCCATACATTTGGCACTGTTCCTAACCATGGTGTTAGTGTTGGGCATGTATGTTTCTCTACCCCTCATTTTAATACACATGCTCCCTGAGGCCTGTTTTCCATCATTCTGGGTGATCATTTCAGTCCTTTAATTCAGAGAAGCAAAATTTATGTGCCACAATATTGTGCTAGAAGCTGCCCTAGGAATTAATGGTAAAGACATGTATAAATACATATTGCAAAGGTTTAGTTTTAGTTTCATTGCCTGTTCAGCTGTAAATAATTTCAGCTTTCCCCCCTCTTCCCAGTATTTTCCTCATCTCAAATTACAGGT